GTGTTGTAGTTGTCGTAGAGAGCTGAGATCTGCCCCAAATAGTTCAGGTTGTGTTAGGCACTTGTTTGGCATTCCCAAAGTCAGCCTGAAGTATTCACAGAAAGACAGATGCATGAAGAGGTTATTGGAGGGGAAGCTTCTAATCACAAATGGGTACAGACAAAAGGACACCTGGGCTGCCTGTCTCACCCCCCTCCACTCACGGGTAGAAGCTCTTTGGGACCGGGAGAGACGTTTATGTAGGTCATAGGAAAAGGGCTCTAGAAGCCTGGTCTTTAAACCAAAGTGTTTGTTTCTGGAGGGATGTTATCAATAAAGATTCTCCATCTCTGGGCGCAAGCAATAAAACATGGGACATCTGGTTCTGCATACTGCCTGCGCTGTTTGAGTGGCTCTCGTTTCATGCTCGCTGGGTTTCGAGCCGTACAAGTCGTGCCTTGCATTAACGACCAATATCCTGAGTAATTTCACAGTGATGCAGGAAACTGACCTCTGCTTTAGGGCCCCGAATCTGCAAGCACTTAAGTATATCCAGCCCATATGGGCAGGCTCGCTAAGTTCAATGGGATCGTATGTCGGTAAAATTGGATTCAGGCTTCTTTACGTGTCGAAGCACCTGAAAGTGCACTTGTGATAGGTGTTAACACATCCTTCCTAGCTCCTTCGGGAATGATTCCATCAAAGCTGTGCCAGTGTGGTGTTTGTACAAGGTCCACGGAGGGCTTGTGCTCAAATTTCTGGTGGCTGTGACCACACAGCCACTGCTGGTTTTTTTGAGCTGGATCGTGCCGAGTGGGGCTGAGCACACAGCATTGTGCTGGCTGTGTTCTGCTTGGGTCGTGCTGGGGTTGTGGCCAAGGGCAGAGCATCAGCAGAGTTAGAAACAGACATCCAGGCAAACCAGTGCCTTGTACCAGGTGGAACGATGTATACAGGTGCATATATACATACAGCAAATGATAATTACGAGGTGTTCACAACAATGTTCGAGAATTTCTGCCTCCCTGCGAGATTTTGCACTCCAAAGAAATTTCAAGATCCTTTGTTTCTGAAGCAGCTCTTCCCCTCTGTATGTTGCTTTCTCTGTTTTAAGCTGATCTTGGAGCCCATCAGCATAGCGTAGTTGTTATTGATACTTATTTTAGGTATCTACCTGCAGATTGTTGTGGCCCCTGTCCTTGCTTTCCTAGGTAGGGGATGACTTTGTCATGTCTCAGGAGGGCCGAATTTCTCCGATCTCTGGCTGAACCAAATATGCACGTATATTACACTCAATTTTAAGCTGTTAACCTGCCGTGCTTGTGGCATAGTTTTACTCTAAAATTTACATAAAACACTGTTTTTACTTCCCTTTTAAGGACAAAAGCTAAACAGAAGCTAAGACTGGTTAGAGTTCGCCTGCATAGTTTTTAGTGGTAGTAAAGAAGTGTAAAATGTGTTTTTTTGTTGTTGTTGTTGTTGAAAATAGTTTTTGACTTGATATTTTGACAGCCTGTAGCTTCAGAGAACCGGGGTGTAAAGGAGGCTGGGAGCTCCTGCATTTGACCCTACGTGCTATTAAATTATCGCTTTTTATTAGGTTATTCCCCACCTGCCAAGTAAGATAGAATTTTCTTCATTTATCACTAACACTGAGAAATACCAGGCAGGCACTAATTATCTGCTCAAATAAGAGGAGTTCAGGTAAACACTGTGCAGAGCAGGGCTTTGGAGAAATAATGTTTGTTAGCTTTAAATGCAGTGTTTGCCCTCAGTAGTGAGTATGAGGGAGAAGATTTCTGCTTGGTGCACGTTTTCGTATGTTAACAAGTCACTGGCTGATTTTGATGATACACCATGGACTGGTGCCCTACGATTTTGTAAAGCCATCAGGTACTCCAGCAAATAGGTTTGTTTACAAGGGAATGCTCGGAAGAATTACTCTAAATGAATGTTTTAAAACGGATTAATTAAATTGCATTAAACTGCACGCGTGGATAAACTCAATCTAGAATCCAGGTGCCCTGAATTTCATTTGGCTGCTTACAAATATTTCCTTAATTAAACAGAGGCTATCTTAAATCTGTCTTGGGTCTATCAGTTCCGAGTAAGAGCACTCACGGAGATATTTGGAGCACTTTATCTGACCTACCCTAGCCATATCACACACAGCTCAAGGTATGAGGAGTGCCCGAGTGCTGTAGTGCAGCAGGAGGCTGCGGCACCGCTCCAGGCTTTTGGAAACGGGGCACATCCCTGGATTAGGAGAGCCATCTCCAACCTGGGCTTGAATTTGTGCTGGCCAAGGTTTCTGCTGGCCAATTTGAGTTTGGCTGGCCAAGGTCTCCTGTAACGACCGGATTAATGAGATATTTTCCGTCCTCTTCCCGTACCTCTCCTCCAGGTGATGGCAACAGACTACAAAATACTGCTCCGGTCATCCAGCTCCCCAAGCTGCCTTGGGGGACAAAGTGAGGGCAGTTTCATTTGTGGAGTTTGGCCATTCCTCTTGGGTTTATCCCGAGATTCCATGGCTTTGTTTGCATTTATTTTTCTTATACCTTAGTATTTGGTCCTGGTAGTATTTCAGCACTGGGTTCTCAATGCCAATGTACAGGCAATTAGTGTAGAATTAACGGGAACTGGGGTTGCAGCCGCGAGAATGAAAGAGGAGGGGGTTAAAAAAAATAAAGGAAAAAAAAACCACAAAAGACAAATTTTGAGAAAGGAAGTGTTTTGCTTCAGGAAATGTTGGTAAATACTTCACTGAGTAAAATATGTGGAAAATGTATTGGAGAAGTTGTTATTCTGAATTTGTTGACTGAGACATTTTAAAGGTATTAATATAATTCTAACTCTAACTTTAATGCTGTTAAATTTTATCAGAATAGCCCACTGCTGACATTTTCTGTTGTGAATTGAAATTCTGAAGTTTTCAGAGGAACGTTTTCAAGTTGTGGTAGCTGCTGTGGTCGCAGTACCCAGCAGAGCTCACTTGGGCATTGCTTTCAGGACCCTCCCATCTAGCATTAACAACAAATACCTCTTTTCTCCTCATATTTGGATCCAGGAGCTCACTGACTCTGGTGACAGCAGAAGGATATTGTGTTCAGCCTGGAGTGACTGCAGAACTGTGTTCTGTCCCAATGTTGGCTCATTGCAGTGTATGGTTTCCTGAAATTGTAATAAAATCTGTTGAAATGGAAATAAATACTGTTGTTACGAAGAATCGTTGCTGTGTATGTGTAATAGCTCTCTTCCTAGTCCCACTTTGGTTGGTGTGCTGTTGTTTGAAGATGGAACCTTTCAGGACTTATTTTCTGATCCATGGTTGAATACTGTCAGACAACAACCCATAAGAGATGGAGAACAGAGGTCACAAGTATGAAATTATTAGTTTTTGGGTTGCAGAAAGGTTTAATTTGTTTCTCTACTTTATAGAATGAGAGGCTAAATATGTATTCGAATGGATTTAAAGAAAATCAAAAATCCTTTGGAATGACTTATTAGGTAGTGGTGTGATTGTGAATAAAGCTGGTTAAAAAGCAACGCGTGAAGCATCAGGGAAGCCTAGCATGGTGTAAATAGACAAAGCGTTAAAAGTTGGGTTTTGTTCTACTTTGTCCATTTTTATTGTTTGGAGTGGTGGCCCTCTTCACATGGAGGGCAGGGCAGCGTTCCTTGCAGTGTGTGCCATTATGAAACAGTAACTCCAGCACAGCTGTTTTATTATGTTAGGGCTGGCCGCCTACCAGGATTTCTCAGAAATGGCAAATGCGATTTGCCAAAATGGCATCCATGTGCACGCACGCCTTGCCAGCTTTCTCGGGCGGGCTGCCACGCTCTGCGCGGCCCCGACAGCTTTTCACCACGATCCCAATTTCAGATGACTCAGTGCTGGCAGCGCTGGGGTTTGGAGTAAACAACTGCGATGCGTGGGGAGTCCTCCGGAGCTGGGCTCTTCCAACACGCAGCCCCTTCTCCACCTCCTGTCCCCCTCTTCCAAAGTTCGTGCTCCACCTGTCTGGCTTAATGGCTTTCTTGTGCTCGAGTGGAAGAGGGAAAGAGGAAAATCTTTATGCATAGCTGGAGGTGATTCAGCGTCGATGTTAAGGGATGAGTTACCATTTCCACTGGTCAACCTTAAATTATTGTGCTAGTGGTTTTTTTTGCTTCAGGTTAGAAAGGAAAAAAAGGATTGATCTCCTTGTATTCGTTGTCCATCCTTTTATGACTGTGGGAAAGCAGAGGTACAAATGGTTCCAGTGATTTTAATTCAATTTTACAGGGTGAAGGTTTCTCTTAAAACACTAATAAATAACCTTGACAGAGGGTTCCAGGGGAGCAGGGCTGAGAAATCAGGGCCGTATTCTGAAAATGCTTTCATCAGAATTGAATTGTGGAAAAAACAGGCGGGTTCAGTACCCAAAAAAAGAAGTTTTGTTTCAAGTCTAGCTGCAAAGAAGCTTCCTGTTCTCCCTGAATTTTAGGTGCCCATTAAAATTTCCTCATGGTAGGACTTTGTGTTCATATGCATCTGTACAGACTGCGGTAGCCAGTGAGGTCTGGGAACTTCATGTGCTATTGCAACAGTCAACGCTTAGGTCTGATCACTCCCCAGAGCTAAGGAATAATTTGCAAATTAAAACCCTGCAATTTTTGAATGTTCTTGTAGACATTTAATTTTTTTTTAAATCATTTTAAAAGAAAATGTTTTCTTTTGTGTTTTACACTGATGAGCTGCCCAGTCTCTGATACTACCTGGTCTCCTTGTCCACTGGGAAAGTGCAGCAAGGTGAATGCGAAAGGAAAACTCGTGCTCTCAGCCTACTTATAATGTAGAAAGTTTATGGAGATGGGTGATGCCCGTATTAAAGTAGCAGTCACACCATTGTATGATCCGTTCTCTATGTTGCTCATTTCCCTTCAGAATTCTCTCTCCTTTTGTAGAGGAAAGATGAAAAAATAAATGCCAAATGGCTATGTCAGGTCTTAACGCTCCTCTTGCTGCTGTTTTTCAGGATTGCATGTCTCGTAAAATCACTTATTTGGGGGCCTGCGGTGGTGTGTGACGGGACATCGCAGCCTGCTTCTGAATGATGTCAGAACAGGACTTGGCAGATGTTGTTCAGATTGCTGTTGAAGACCTGACTCCAGATAACCCAGGTACAGTAGAGGTGGGAGTGATGGCATGAGAAAGATAATGTTTAGTATTACCCATTTACAAGGTGGAAATCACTGCTGAGATGCTTTTTAAAAAAAGTATAAAGTGCTGCTGCAATATTTACTTCGAGAGCCACTTGTTAAGACTTCCTACTGAATTTGGACATCTTCACTTACGTATTTCTAGTACCCTTTGGATCAAGTTAATTTTTATTTTTTTTACTTTTCTTTTAAAGACTTAGTTTTTTTTTTCTTCAAAGGTAGACTACTGCCAAAACTCTATATGCCAAACCGTATTTTTTTTTAATTTCAGACCAAATCCATGTTTGAGACTTTTCCTCAAATAAAAACTATCACCCGTCTATTATGAATCATTGTTTTACTTGTAAAATATCTGCTCTCAAACATTGTTAAAATTCTTTGGATTTATAGCAAAATGACAGTAAATTTGAAAAACACTTCTGAAAGCAAACATGGTGATTTCCTTTACTTAGAATTTGATCTGCTAAGGGAAAACATGTTGAAATCAACTGCAGGCGTTAATCCAATGCTGTCATGTATAAGTGAGTAAGTGTTGACAGAAAGAACAGTAACTGCAGGTACAGAAAACACAAACACATTTAAAAATACTTTTCTGATGCAGAACAGAAAAGTTCTTTCAGAAATGTACCCAAAGAGATGGAGGAGAAGGTGAGAATTACCTGTCCCAGCCTAGTCCATAACTTGGTGGGCATCCAAGGATTATCACCTGTAGCGTGGTCAACCTTAAACAAGCTTTCCTTTGCTCGATTTCATAAAAGGTCTTGAACCCAGGCTCATTTCAGGTAATGCTCTGACTGTGACACTGTTCAGGGCTCTACGTCTTCTTTTCACCAGCGACGTTTTCCAGTTCTAAGTTCAGAACACTTCTGTTATTGTTTCTTCAGAGTGTTTACCTCTAGATTAAAAGCGTTTGGGATCAATAGCTCTGCATATCCAAGTACTTATTTTGGAAAATTTTCAGGGTTTAGTTAATCGCTACTGGAGAGAAATTAATGGTTTAGTGGTGGACTTGGCAGTGCTAGGGTAAAGCTTGGACCAGATGATCTTAGAAGTCTTTTCTAACTTAAATGATTCTATGATTCTGTGGGAGAAATCCTGCGTTCATGCAGAATTAGAACTGCTTACAGTTTTCCAGAGTGTGAGGGTTCAGAAGCCAGAAGTAAGTTATTGTATATATTTAAGAGAAAACATAAAAAAAAAAAAAATTAGAAATATACAGTATGTTAACTAAACTCCCTTTCATATTGTTTGATTTGTCCATTTAATATATTTTTAATCCAAGTCTTGCCTCTTGTATTAAAAGCTATGGCAATGCTTATTTTTCTTTGCAGTTGTGTTGGAGAATCATGAAGTGACAGACGATGACGTAGAGCCTACTCTGAAACGTCAGCGGATAGAAATTAACTGCCAGGATCCCTCTATTAAGGTTACAATAATACCCTTTTCTGTTTTTATTCATAATACCAATTAAATTAGCTTTCTTGGGGAAATTATATCAAATGAACTAATGCTTATGCATAGTACTGGAAATGTATCCCTGTAAATGTTTGTGTGTTTATTTTCTGCATAAATTTTAAAATCTGCATAGTTGGCTAATCTCCTGGTATAAAATCATTACCAAAAATTTCATATGCAATATAAAATTTAATCAGAAATAATTCTAGTAGCTCAAACATCGCTCCATCTGCTTTGATGAAGTGAATAAACTCAGCCCTTAAGAATAAATTTGATATATTGTATGACAATACCCAGGTATTGTGATAAGTATATTTTAAATAAATTGAATATATTTTTATTACAATATGCAGATACTTTCAGCATGTTTAAAATTATTATTTTAAGCTAACAATGTTCCCGTAAGAGTTGAGCTGTATTTGGTTCAGGCTGTTCTGTACTTGCAGAACTTCCCATGCTGCTCTCTCTTGTGTTTTAGTAATGTTTTTGTCTTGGAGCATAGGCATTTGAGTTGTATTTTACTGCCATGCACATTAAGCAGTATGTAATTTTGTCTAGAAATTCTGCCATAGAAACTGAAGCTCTGTATTAAGACAGCAGGGGGGAAGCAGCACTGCAAAGCAGCTCGATGGGGTGTAAATTGTAGTTGAGGGCCACAAGATGGCACAGTTGCTGTTTGCAGAGGAGTGTGTGTGTACCATTACCCTTCAATAGCCTGTTTTTTCCCCAAGGGGAACCAAGTGGAATATGCTTTCTTTTAAATGAAATTGCTTAGGAAAACAAAGTTTGTTTATTTGCTTTTCTTGATTTGCTGTTCAGGAGAAAACTGAAGTGAGTGGCATTTATTGTCCCTGATGTGATTTGTGTTGATACAATTCCACTATAATTATCCAAATGTATCTGTTTGGACAAGGAAAGAAATTCTTATTTAATTTTATCCAGAAGGATGCTTTCATTGATTTATATACTTTTGTTTTTAAATATATTGAATGAAAAGCTTTGGCATGTGATTTAAAATGATTTTGTGGTGTACGGAATCATAGTAACAAAGTGCTTAGGTGAAAATGTGTTTGGCTTGGGTGCTTTTGGCTTCTAAATAAAGATCTGAAAGACTATGAGAATATTAAAATGCTCCTGAATGTCATCAGGTTCTGTATGTGGCTGAATTTAGTCACTAGGCACATTGCTAGTTCCTTTAGAATTGTTTTCCAGTCACATTTATCTGGAGCTTCCTTATGTGTATGTTGCTGAAGATAAACGTGTAAGTCTTTAAAAGCAGTTTCTCTTGCATTCTCCCCTTTCTAGTCGTTCCTGTATTCCATTAATCAGACAATATGCCTGCGACTGGATAGCATTGAGGCAAAGTTGCTGGCACTAGAGGCTACCTGTAAATCACTGGAAGAGAAGTTGGATCTTGTCATGAACAAACAGCACAGCCCCATCCAAGTCCCCATGGTGGCAGGTTCTCCTCTTGGCGCTACGCAGACCTGCAATAAAGTACGATGGTAAGAAAAGAATAGATTACTCATCAATGTGCTTTTTAAAATAACCTAAATCCTTTTCCCTGGCGTCAGGCTCTGCAGCTTTCTTTATAGCTGTCAGGAACTTGGTGTGCTGCTTATGAATGTAGAATTATTTTCTCAGAGGTAATTTTTGTACCAGTTTCATGATGTTACTTCTACTTAGAATAAGACTGATCATGTCGCACCGGTCCACGGACAGTTTGCAACTATTTCCACATTTAGTTTTGAATTAAACTAGACAGATTCATCCATCTCTGGAAAAGTCACATCATCTGTTTTAGATGGGTTTTGTAGACTTGCTTTACTTTTATTTATGTGGTTGTTTTGAATTGGTGAGTTCATCATTCTGATTGCTTCTCATTTTACTTTTATCAGACAGAAATACAGCAGAGTATTATATGTGCTTATTTTCTAAAGACTCCTGGTAGAATAGCACTTATGTTTATTTTGGGGTTAGAAGTAGGAGATGGAAAATCTGTTAAATAATCTAATCCACTGTGATGAAAGGGAAGGTTTGACCTGGAGTACCTTTATGAGTTGCCTAATATGGTTCTAAATATCTTAAATACTGATGTGCCTATCGTTTTACCATGGGTATTATTCCAGCCAGAGGAATATGATGATCAAGAGACTTTTTTTGTGTTCCGACTTTTCCATCATTCATATTTCTACAGCTAGGAAAAACTTAATACTTCTTTAAATAATGACTTTTTTATTTTCCATTACAACTGCGTAATATTCATAGACAACTTTCACATCATACCATTCTAGTCAAGATACATGAACTTAATATGCTTTTTGTCAGTCTGTTTTTCGATCTTCTGATATTTCATCACTCACTCTGAACTTTGTTAACAGCTGAAAAATAATTTGTATATGTTTTTGATATGCAGTGCACTGTTCCAGGTGCACTACCCAAATCTCTTAAAAAAAAAAAAAAAGTAGTTCCTTTATGTTGAGTTGCATCCATGTGAGGTAAGAAAACAAACCACAAACAATATCCTTTTTCTGTTATACCACTATACACTTAACTGCTGCGTGTATGTATATATTTATTTTTAGTTCTAGTATTGCTGTTTTTAGAATAGGTATTCTAAAAGAATTTATCTCAGCTCATACTCACATTTTACAATACCTTGCAGTTCTTGCATTTACAAAACAGGATGAAGTACAATCTTGCAACCACAAGAAGTTCAAATTTGGAGATTTTACATTCAGAGGGAACACTTTATTCATGCAGTTGTACCTGTTGTATAATGCAGACTACCTGTTACCCCACAACCGAAAGTGATTACTTGTGATGAACAGAGTCTAGTTTTCAGAAATGTACCAAATCAGTATTGAAAAATCTGAAAGGATAAAGAACTCAATGTGGTTCTTGATCTCTTTTTAAAAGTTCAAATATCTCTTATTTTCAGTGTAGATCTGAAGTCCTGCTTGTTTTGCTGTAACAGACACCTGCCTAGTTAGGAACACTTCACGTTTCTTCATACTTTTTCAAAAGAAATTTCCTTTTTAGATGTCCACATACAGTGTTGGTACTCCAGAATTCCTTTATTGGCCTTTTTTCGTATGCTGTCCATGATCATTTTGATCACTGGATATTTTCCTTTTCCCTTCTTTTATTTAATTTTTCTTTAAACAGGTCCCATGTCTACATTACCTCATGCTTTTGGAGTTTCCCTATGATATGTGAAAAAGGTCAATTACAGCTAAGTTCCATATCAAAAGAGATTAAGTACCTATAATAACTGTTTGGCTCATAGAGCAAGTAACTGAAGTATTACACAAGCATTTTCACTGAGCTTTTTGTTCTTGTAGCAGTCTATGGCGTATGTGACTCAAAAGAAAACAGGGGTGTATGTGTTTAACTTGCAGGTCTTTTTGGCGTTAATAACACTTCAATTTCACAGCGATGGAATGTTTCACTGAATTTCCTGCCTCTCATTCATTCATAAAAGCCTCCATGGCTTGTTCATTGTTTCTGATTCACAACCTATGTGGACTGTTATGTTGTATCAACTCCGTGTTGTTTCCTCTTCCCCTTCCATTGCAGATGGCAGTGGAGGGCTGCCAGCCACAGTTAGTGTTTTGGATAATAGATTCTGCATCTGAATGAGATTCATCAACCCCCATCTCCTTTTTCTGCCACAATAATACCAACAAAAATGCTGTAGGTACTTAAGACAGGTAAAGCAGATGCCAGTACAGACCTTTTTTCAAGAAATACCTTTAGATTCGTGATCTCTTTCCTTCCACTCTAGAGTGATTTTTTTTTTCTGGTATTTTAGTTGCTTGCATTAATTTAGTGCAGATTTACTACAATCAAAATGTGTGTATCACAGCAGTGCACACAGTAAAGCACGTGGACTGTGCATTATAAATTCACGCAGTTTGATTGCTCTGTTGTATTTGTGCTTTTAAAATTCAATGAATTTCCTAAGGCTTGTCAGTTGGAAGTATGTGCAGGTCATCAAGTGATGAAAACCAGGACAACTCAGACAGAGGGGCTTTTTTCTGGCTCACCTTGTGGGGGAGTTGTGTAGTTGCAGTGCAACAGGTAAATTCACATCTGAGCACTGTGACTATGATGTGGGGTCTTAAAATGTGTGTGGTGCTGTTATATATTGGCTGCTGATGAGCTGGAGTCGATAAAGTATCATCTGACCATCCAGTTATGTTATGGAGGCAGCAGTGTAACTTTGGTAATGGTTGTCAGACTTGCGTTGAATGATAAATGGGCTTTTCTAGAAAGCTTAATATGTTGACTTACAGGGATAACTTGTACCTTTTTTTGGTGCCAAGCTATTGTTTCCAAGTTTTAAAAACTCTTGTTAGGGAAATGAAGCAGAAGTGTTCAAGGAGACTTGCAATAAATCTGGAAACACCCCATGTTTTTAGCTCCCAGGACAGAAGTGCAGTACATTTTAGTCTTACTCTGCTTTCTGTCTATTACGCACGCGAGACATGATTTGTGTGGAAATCTTCCAGCATCCTTTTCTGGGTATGTGTACTTTGAAGGTTTGTTGATGTTTCTTGGAAAATTATGAAATGCTGTATTCAGAAATTAGAGTACTGTCTATTGCTCTTGACTTTTTGTGTCCATGAAGGTGTACTTATGCTGGACCGTGCTCAGTTCTTTCATTCCTGTTGTTGATGCTGATCTGCAGTTACGGTACTTCGTTATATTCCAGCTACTTGCAGTGCAGGTATGCAGGAAAGTAAAGGATATATGGGCCTCTGTAAAGAGTAATTTCTGTGAACAGTTGGGATACTCAGGAACAGCAGGATAATTTTTAGATCTCCTAGAAAGAAGCTTAAGCTACAGCAAAAACTAACAGGAGAAAACATTTTAAAGAAAGTCGTGCGGAATTGGAGATGTGATGTGCTGTATTTCCGTGAGTTATTACATGAAGAGCAGAACTAAATAAGCCTAGTTTCTCCACGGTTATTTAGAAAGACCATCAGAAGGTTTCAAAACACAAATCCTTAGGTTGCACGGAGTCGTGTTAAACTTGGAGCTTGAAAAGAGCCAAGAACAGTAGCAACGTAAGTTAATGAGTCGGTGCGGGGAGTAAGTACCTTGTCCCAGTGATCCCAGCTTTTCCAGCTTCGTGAAACATTCGTACAGCCCCGCTTCCCCGTCCAGGAAGTGATTATCTCTTGTCCTCCGTCTGCAACATTTCCTGGCAATACAGCTATTAAAAATATCTAATTACTTTTCGTTATGAGGTATCGCCATGGTCAGAAATTCCAGTAGCTGCCGAAAGCTTCTTCGATAGCACAGCTGGTGCGGTGCCGGCTGCCTGTTGTCAGAATGGCAGCCCCGAATGATAAGTCTGAAACGGAGCATGTGCCCAGGTCCTGAGATTTATAAGTTGATGAACGCAGCGTGTGACAGTGCAGCTAAAATCTTTTATCCGCATTTTAAAGAAAATATTTCATCTGAAAGACTTCAGTCCAGAAACTGTTATTTTTGTCAGCATCTTTCCATTAATCATTTTTCTGCATGGGTAAGCCCAAGTATAAATGGTTCAGGTTGATTGCTTTAGATAACACAGGAATTTGTTTTGGTTTCACAGAACCTTCCATCATTTGTTTTTCTGGATATTTTCTGCAAATGTTACATTGTGCAATTCTACTGTGCTTTTAAGGTTTTTTTTTTATCGTTATATAATTGAGAGTAACAGTTTTAGAAATGTATTGATTTTGGAGAGGATTTAAATTTTAAATTGGTATTTTCTTCAAGCTAAAAATGTTTCTGATGAAATATGGAAATTCGTATGTAAATAGTTTCTTTAGTTCCAATGTTTTCTTTGAACCTTTGTTATGGTAAAGTTGAAATACAGACCACATACATCTGGTTCTTTACTACATGCATTTGTGGCTGACCGATTAAGGATACCGATCACTAAGCATAGAGATAGAATTTCATATATTTTTGTCTTTAATGGGAACTGGAGAGTTAAATGGAATTGCAGAGTTTAATGCACTCAATATTTGTGCAAGGGCCTGATACGGTATCCTTGGGCACGACTTGTTAATGGGTTGGACGCTTTCTTAAAATAAAGCTGGTTCGGATAGACCTCACTGCACTTAAATGCAGTGTTGGTAGTTTAAGTCAGCTGCTTCTGGAAAATAGCATTTGTCTTTTTTTTGTCTTAAGGTGCAAACCAAGGTTTTTACATCTCTTTTACAGGAGAAGGCTTTTGATGCAGTTGTGTACCAGATGGGATGTAAGAACTTGCTTAATTTTTGTAGATGTAGTTTGTTAACGTCTTTGCTTTATGATTAAGATTAATCAACAGGGCGTAGTAAGGTTTGATGAATGGGGTTTGTTCATCCACTCTGCTTGCAGTTCCAGATTTGTATTTCTGGTGTATCGTTGTTTACAAGTGGTTCTGCAGGTGAGTAATACAAAACTGAAAAGTGAGATGATTTTCAATGAAGTTGTAAAGCAGCGTGGGAGTAGGGAGAAAAAT